ACAGCTCGAAGCGAGAAACCTCGTATCCTCTTCTGAGATCGCTTCCAGAGGAAGAGAGACAGGACAATAACCAAAGTCAAGACGAAAATGCCCAACACTACAGCAACAATGATCCAGACGTTCTGATTCATCACGACGGCGGCAGTCGTGTAGAGACCAGTGACCCTTCTCTTGATGTCCTGCCTCAAGACTGATAATGATAAGAAGTAGTGTTGCTGAGGTTGATGCAGTGATGCCTCAAAGCACCATAAGGCTGAGCAACAAACGTAACGACAGCAGGTGGTCTCTCGAAGGTGGCGCCAACGTGGGGTGGTGGGCGGAGTTGAGAAAGCCTCAATTGAGCACCAGCGAGAGTGATGGCTAGTCGTCCATGATGGGAGTCGACAGAATTTCAAATGGACAAACAACGGACGTCTGGGAGGAGCCAAGGCAGCTTGATATGGGGAGTACGGAGTAGGGAGAGACGCGGGTAAAGTATTGCGGGACAAGCGGAGGGGCTCAGCAGGCGAAGATGTTGGTCATGCGCAAGCTCCACGCTCCAAGACCTAAGACCACGAAAAGAAGCGGTGGTGTGCAGCCAGCAGACAGACGGAGAGGAAATGGAGCAATCGCACGGCAGAAACAGCAAGAGGCGCACCGAGCGAGGGGCAGTCGTGCAGGTTATAGAGACGGGTCGTCTTGGCCAGCGGCGACGTACCTGCATATATGAGGGTGGGGTGCAAAGTGTGGGAAAAGGTACGGCACCACCGTCCGCCGTACCTGGGAGGCTGAAATATCGGTGAGTGTTGCGCTAGACGGACATCCATGGTGAGGTTAATTTTGCGTGCCTTGAATTCATCACCCCGCCGTTGGAAACATAGCGCAGCGGCCGCGATAGGCAGTTCGACCGCTCCTTCGCCTACCGTGTCTGCAGGGGACGCCGCTGCGCCCTCACCGTGCCAATCGACGACCAGGTGGCGTTGATGGAGGCCAGCACGCTCTGCCAGGTGCCGTCGATGAGGTGTCAGGAACGCCACGATGAGGACGAAAACGGTACCACGTCCTCAGGGGCGTCCGACTGCCCCTCCACCACGCCAGACCGAATGGCAGCGGCTGGCCGCACACCACGATGTGCGCACGCCGCTCACAGCTTGGTTTCTTTTCTGTTTCTTCTGAAAGTCAATTTCCTTGCTTCTTCAGATGACGAGCCGTTCGGTGTCGGACGGGAGCGGGCCTCCAGCAAAGCGCATGGGTCGAATCGAGCCCTGGACCGGCAGTGCCTTTGACTCGGAGGATCAGCAGGACGCGAGCCCACTTGCATATCGATATCGATACCGGTATGGCTCATTAGTGGCACTGGCCAATCCGTGCGAGTGAACCATGGGCTCTAGGGTGCGTCGTCCCGCGTAGCGTCCCTAGGCTTGGCTACGCTCGGAGGCAGAGCCAAACTCGGCATTGTTCCAAAATGTCAGCTCTGCGCTGGCGGGGGCCAGAGACTGTCTGCTGGCACTCTTTGATGCGATGCTGGCGAGTTAGAGTCCGAACTACTACTATCAAGCTCAAGTGCAAGGGGGGCCGAAATCAAAACTCGCCACTTAGACGGCCGACATGCTGGTGAACTCATCACGGTGTGGAAAAGCCGATGCATTCCTCTAGTCATTATCAAGATGTCGGACTATCTCCAGATTCCAGTACCAGAAGCACCGACTGTTCCGACTCTCAAGCCGTTGCTTGGTTACAAAGTTGCCATATCACAAGGGCTTACTCCCCCTCTGGAGTCATATCCCATCTACCGGGACCAATGACAGTTACAAAGGAAGATTGTACTACAACAGAGACCTACATGAAACAGGAATGCCTTCATAGACGAATTCATGTGGAACCACGCTGTCGCTCACTATCGTGAGATGCTGCCGCCGTCTTTGCATGTTACAACTTGGTTTGCGCATTCCCTGCCAGCTTCGGCTAGGCTATGGTCAACTACCAGTAGTGCGCAGTCTGGATTTCTTGAGATGCGGGAGGACTACGCTCGATTAGTCTATTGCAGACGAAAAAATCCTACAGCGAAGCGCTTCTTGCGCAACAAAAACGCTTGTCGGTTATCATGGCCCTGCAGGCTTGCCGTTTTGACCACATCATCGCGCAACCCTAGACTTGACACCAAAAGCGACCATCCTATCACAAAAATGTAGCTTGCGCGTGCCCTTACCTTTGTAGCGGCACCGGAGCATGCTCTGGTTATGATGAACTTGTCACATCACAATTCATTGTACTCCGTACTTCGTACTCAGGAGTCAGTACCACAAGCGTCAAGACAAATATCTCTTTCCCCAAATTCCCATGTGGGGCGTGAGCCCTCCATGATCTCCATAACGGTCCCAGAGCCGAGATGAGTCTTTGACCGGAAGAGGTCTGAAACACCGATCCCCCAGGAACACATTCGGATCAGCCACTAACACCACAGTGCGGCCCGGCAAGATCGCGAACTACGTGCGAGTAGTCTCCCGCAACAGTGCCACGGAACACTGTTAGTCTACAAAAGACGGTGAGGAACACAGGGAGATGCTGGAGGCACGACACAGTAGCTGCACCGAGTAGAACAGCACTTGGGATTTGCGTCTTGCCGTTGCCGTGAAGCCGTCAAGCGCCCGTTCCTGGGAAAGTGGGACCGTGCAATCTGGATTGCGTGACGGCTAAATGCACCACTTGCACGTGGACCACCGATCGCCAGCGCCACATACCGAGGATACCCTGGCTAGTCCATTTGGCGGTCAGTCGTCCGCTTGAGGGCCGAGGCGTTATTGAAGGTCGCAGACTCGCCATGTTGCGCTCTGTCTTGCTTTTGCCATGTTCGTGTCGAAAGCGATGCCGTTTCCCGACGCGAAACAACTTTGGGGAAATACGGACGCCAGGCGCCTCGGATCAGCGCTGTCATCGGTACCAAGTCCGAAAGAGAAGGTACGGAGTCGTACAAAGTGGCTTCGCGTCCAGTAAATCTTCACTTCTGCCAATCATAGTTCGCAAAGTGCATCCTGCTTTCTACCAAGTACGCTAAGCTTGCGAGACTCCGTCGAAAACCTGCTACTCGGCGTGACCAGTATCGTCAAGCGTTGGGATGCGCATTTCCCAGCACACCAGGCCTACGAACTCATCATATACATGCCGTGATCTCTGTCGCAGACTGTCGCAGACAGAGACTGTTTGAAGCTGGGCTTGTTTCCGCCGCCATCCTGCTGACCACCACAGACTCTTCACCAGCGGATAGCTGCGGCACTTTAGTATCAGTCTACCACCACTCGGGTATCCGCTGAATCATGTCCTCCAGGCACAGTCGTCGAATCTCGGTTCCAGCAGGCTTGTCTAAGCTTATAGTCACCAGGCCTTGACGAATCCGCAAAATCCCAATATCAAGGCCACACCTCGTGAAGACGCGAACCGCCATACGCGTTCGTGATAACTACCATGTGGCAATGTACCAATCCCAGCAATATCACCGACGAGTGTGCCCCGCCGCACCTAAAGATGACCACCTTCCAACGGGAGACCTGAAGACTGACCACACACGGCACTCCGCGGAACCATCGTCAACGGTGAATTCAATTCCTCACCACCAACATGGTACAGTAATCTGACAGGACGCTGACCACCAACAAATCCTACATGGACCACCATAATAGAACTCACTGCCTACCATGTCACATACTCGTCACGCGGCTTCCGGCAAAATATACATCTCACCTCATCTCCAATTCACCCCGCTCCCACTCCGCGTGGGGGACATTCAATTCCTGCTGCGCTCCATCCCACTTTGCTACAGCCAATATACCCGTCGCTTCCGCCGCCTCGGGTACTCTACAACACACACTAACACCCGGCCGCAATAACCCGTAAATGAATATTGCACATGCATGGGCTTTCTGCAGCGACACTGCAGTGGCAAGGTCAGCGTCGCGGCCAGTGCGACTGGAGGGCAGATCGAGCGTCCCTTTGTCCCGGAATTGCAACCGTGGCACAGAGATCTCGTTCATATGTCCATATGACCTGCCCAGCCTGTCGTTCTGTCCGCGACCCCAAGCTTCTCCAAGTTCCTTGGAGGTGTTTGTTAAGCGCCGTTGTTATTGCGTTGGGAGTCTACTGCTTTCTGTGGGTGGGTAATGGACTAGGTAGCTCGGTCGGTGTCGGTCTGCATGCGCTTGTTCTTGCTGTAGCATGTACTCCGTACTTCCAAATTAGTACACGTGTGCATCAAATCACTTAGATACTTCAGGTAACTCAACGTGCAATTCGGTCTCCAAACCACCCCCCTTCCCGGTGCTTCTGAAGCTACATGCCCAACCAAGTACTTGCGCAGAACTGATAAACACGCTTCAAAAACATACAGCTGCATCGTAGAAACGACGCCTCTGCAGTCTAGTAACCTATCGTCCATTAAACAGTCGAATTCCTTGCATCGGAAAGACTCTGGAAGTATGGCGTCCAAGTGTGCGCACGAACGACCGCGCATCTGGCGCTTTGTGAAGAAGTTGCTCCTCACGTTTCTTCTGTTTTCCTGCACGGGCTATCCTGGACGAATCGGGTGTCTGTACATGTAGCAGTAATCATCTATCGCAGTCCTGCTAGTATACCATGTAGAATAAGTGTTCGACGTGTTAAGGTACTGAGAGTCGACTGTGTGGAAACACGGGGTGAGCCAAGGCCCCTTAGATACGATTAGCTCTGGGAGAGAGCCTGAATCAGACTGATAAGCAGGCTCTCGCCCGATCATCAATCAGACAGTTTAGTTCCCACTTTCATTACCACAATTGCCCAGATGAGTTGAGCCCCGCACCAGCTAGCGCGAATGAATTTTGCGACCCCTCCACTGTGGGGTAAGAGCAATGAGTGAGCAACCTATGACTGTACGAAAATAATCACTACGTTGCCACTCTCCGGGCCTGTGTTGCGGTCCTGCTGCTCTGATATTAGGGTTTCTTTGGCTATATATTTTGTACGGTCGAAAATCTTCAACATTCATGCAATCAGGTCGATTAGCTCAGTTGGTTAGAGCGTGGTGCTAATAACGCCAAGGTGAGTCACCTCACTTATTGTTAAGTGACCTATCTAACATTCCTTAGGCCGAGGGTTCGACCCCCTCATTGACCATACTTTTTTTGCGTTTTGGTAGAGACCTGCTGGCTGCTAGGGGGCTGTCTACTTTTTGGATGTTGGATCAGATAGGCGGACATTACATACAACACGCTCGCTGACCAGACTTACAGATCCATACATGAATAGGACTGGTTACTAGGTATTAAGAAACAGGTCACGTATGAGATGAGTTACTGTGCATGTGAATGTTCTTCGTTACACCTGTCCACTCTGTAGTATCTGTGTGCAGCGCACGGTCTCTTAGACTAAGCTCAACCGCACCTTCCTCTTGCCCGTGCTCGCCTCGACCTCATCGGTGATCCTCACATTGACCTTCTCGAACAGCTCAATGCTCCTTGCCTTCTCACCCTTGACGTTGAGCACATAGTTCTCCGCATCGAACTCGGCATCTGGCTCTGGGGTTGCCAGATCTCGCAGGCGAATCAAGCTCTCAATGCCGAACCTAGGAACGAAAACAACGAAGCCGTTCGAGAAGACCTTCATAACATGTCCCTCCTCCTTCACATCCTTCCCCTTCAGTGCCTGGCCTACATAGTATTCGATTGATGCGCGGCCGGCCATTTGAGCGTTGCGATGTCGTACGTTGATGTTCTTGCAGACCCCCTCAAGCTTGGGTTTTGACTGGAGACTGGGGTCTAGTTGTTCGTAGTCGATCGCCGCTGCGAGCTGACGATGCGCTTCCAGATCTGCGTAACGACGGATGGGAGACGTGAAATGAGTATAGATCTCGCTCGCAAGACCGTAATGTCTGAACTCTGGATAGGCTTGAGTGCCGGCGCAGAAATACTCGGCAGACATCATGCAGCGCGTCGCCATGATCCTAACGAGGGTGTTGAAAAATGGCTCCTTTGGGTCGACGCAAGTGTCCAGCGAATCGGCCAAGGCTTTCGAGCTGTCAGTCCGGAGCTCGAGCCCTTTCTTGATTTTGAGTTGGTTCGACAGTTCCTCAAAGTTGGTCTTTGGTGGAGCGCCGTGACGACGCAGCAGAGCTGTCTGCGGAAATGCTTCGTAGTTCTTGGCAGCGACACTTATATTGGCCAACAACATGAACTCTTCGACAAGAGAGTTTGTATCGAGAAGCCGTTTCGTTTGGACATCGACAGGGTCAGAGGTCTCGGACTCGGTTTGAACTTTGACTTCAGGAGAGGCAAGGTTGAGGGCACCCGCCTCCATACGCTTTTGTTTCAACTTCTTGGAGAGCATCAGCAGCGTCCTCATTCCGTTGGTCAGATCATCTTGTTGAGACTTGTCGTCGATGCGTATCTGGGCTTGCTCATAGCTGAATGCTTCTCTTGATCGGATGACCGATTTTGAGAACTCGGAGGATACCAAGTCAGCATCGGGTGTTACCTCCCATATGACTGAGAATGCATATCGCTCGACATATGGTTTGAGTGAGCACAAGTCGGTCCCCAGAAGCATAGGCAGCATGTCAATGCGCTTGTCTACAAGGTACACGGTTGTTCCTCGTTGGCTAGCTTCCTTGTCCATGGCATTGTTAGGTTTGACGAAATGCGAGACATCTGCAATATGCACGCCAACTTCGAAGTTACCATTCGGAAGTTTACGAGCGTGCAGCGCATCATCAATGTCGACGCAGCCAGGGGGATCAATACTGCATACGAGAAGATCCTGGAGATCCTTTCTTCCTTTCCAACCTGGATCGTCGAGACTGGCTGGAACTTTCCAATCATGACCTTCGGCAGGCAAACAATCCAATACAGTTTTTGGGAATGGCTTGTACTGGACGTCCCATTCCAACAATAGTGCTTCGGTCTCGGCTCCTTTAGACTCTAATTCCCCTAGAGAGCGCACGAAGTGGCCAACAGGGTACCGCGAATCTCGATCCCAAGAATCTATTGTCGCTAGAATGCGCTGACCCAATAGTTCACCGGCCTGTCGGGTCCGCATTCTAATTTTCGGGATGCGCTTATCCATGGGCACGAGAAACACCTGCTGCTGCTGCCTGCTTGACTTGGAGGCCGATCGAACGGAATCTCGATCAATGTGACCAACGTACTGTCTCCAATTCCGTTTGATGATGCCCACAACCCTCGCAGTGGGTTGTGGCCTGCCTTCTGTGCTCTGGCCATGTACCCGCTTAACTTCCTCTTGGAGTGCGCGACGTTCCCTCTCGGAAAACACATTCTCGCCCTCTTCGGCTTCCGGGTTGTCGTTCTTATTCAAGGTTTCCTCTTCAATGATCTTAGTAGAGGGGGCCTTCCATTGATCTTTGGGCAGTATTTCAACCACCACAATATCTGCAGAGACAGCGCGGTTGCCATTCTCTCGGCCAAGTACAAGGAGAGACTTGTCAAAGGTCGGAACATGCACAGACGCTTCTAAATAGTTATAGGGTGAGACGTTGAAAATGCCCTGATACATAGTGCCAGCTTTGACACCAGTCATCATCTTGGACATAGAGTAGTGTTCCGGATAAAAGACCTCGGCCTTTTTGGACCTGACTTCTCGCTGTTCCTGCGCAGCACTAATCATGTCTAGGAGTTCGTCTGCATTCTCTAGTCCGGACACAAAATCCGACACTAAGGGTGTTAACATAGGCTTCAAGACAATATCAGTACCGACTTACATGTGTCCGCGGGTACCCCATCTGATTTGGCTTTTCTTAGATTGTCCCGATCATCGCTGATCATGACGACCGCAGGAACACGTTTTTGCTTCTTGCTGCGGGAAGCAACAGCTTCAGTGATGTGTTGGTTGTACCACTGGACTGCCTTTCGGACGGCCCTATCGTTCCGATCGTTGATAGTTTCTCCAGAATCTCGAGCAATGTAGGTCTCCTGGCGAAACTCATTAAAGAAAACATAGAAACGCTTTCCTTCATTCCTGGTCAGGGCGATTAGGCGATGATACAGTGGTAATGATCGATTCTTCACTTCTTCCAACACGGTCTGTAGCACAATGACGTCGTGGAAAGCGGTTTCAACTTCGAATAGATCCATCCCGGTAAGAAATGCATTAGTGTCCGGGATGAGGTACTGTCCATTTGGGAATTTCTTTGATCCAGCTGGTGTGTCAGAGAGGACGAAGGGTGCCACTTTTATATTTAGCTTTGCTTCTTTATACGAGTTAGGCCTACACACCTTTGCTTGAGTAGTCTGTAGGTGCAATCTCCAAGCACGATTTGCAGAGGTTCGAAGAGCAGGGAATGTCTTGTCGTAGATATAGCTCTCTTACTATCTTCTGTACCTTGCCACTCTTCGTTGAGCGGACATAGACCTTGCTAGAGAGGTTAGACTGGCCCCGATCGGCAGCAGTCGAGCGCTTCAAGCTAAAGTACTCCATCCTTGCGGTATTGCGGTTGGCGAAATAGTTGTTGATGGCTGGCGCGGTTGGTGTTTGTCTAAATTCTTCGAGCGAACGCCAAGATATCAGATGCCAGAAACGATCTAGTCCCAATAAGGTTAGCGCACCCCAGGCATTGGTATCAACCCCGACACCGCAAGGTGTATTAAGTTGTAGAACGCAAGGACGTTCTGAAATGTGATTGCACGACGGAAGTAAGCAGCAAGATAAAGATCTAGGGCTGTCTTCAAGGGTCCTCGGCGTCGAGCATGTGGTGAGTTTGGGGCCGCTGGTGGCCCAAGCTCCGCTGCCAGATGACGGAGTGCAGCTGGCGGGCCTCGACAGCAACACAGCAGTCACATCACAGGTCCCCCACCACTGCTCCCCACACCACAACACTCAGCATCCATTCGAGCAGCATCCTCGGGTAGTGTTTCTGCTCGCCATGTCGCTGGACCCGCCCACGTACATCCTCTCGTTGCAGAACAACATTCGCGCCCGGCCAATATCATGGGAGGGCGCAGTGCGGGCCAAGACCATCACGGACGCGGACCTGAAGAAGATCAAGTCAATTGACAAAGTGCGCAAGGAGCAGCGGAAACAGACCATCGAGGCAGATGTGGACAGCTTCGTGACGCTCTTGCTGGGTAGGAGCGGGTCGCCAAGCATCTTCGAGGCTGCCGCAAAGCGCCAGGACATCATTCACTACATGCTTGTATTGACAGGCGATCTCATTGATGGTACGGCTGCCCCGCAAGGCTATCTAATGTGCAAGTAGCCGTTGGCTGACCAGACCCATAGATATCCCGAGCCTCACCACGGCGCTCGTCCAGCACCCAACACCTTTCAAGCCTTTCTTGCCCCTTCTGAAAGCCTCTGCGAACCTCGAAGAAGCTACACCACTCCTGACGTCTTCTGTGCTGTCGAATTTGCTATCCCATGCACTCACAATCGCCTCCAAGAGCACCTCACAAATCGACGAAGCACTCCCGCAGATCTACAGCTACCTGGCCGCGCTCGCGAAGAGTTCTGACGCGGGTCTCCAAGACATCGCTGTGCAGGAGTATTCTGCGGTGCTACGTACCAAGAACGCACGTCAGCTGTTCTGGGACCAGCGGAAAGAGACGGTAGAGCCTCTCTTCGATATCCTCCGGCTCGCGTCAGGCGCAACCAAGGACCAAGACTCTACGCTCTGGAGCGGAGGAAGTAGTGCCCGCAGCACTGACGGAACAATTTCAGGAGGCGTTGGGTTACAGCTTCTCTACCACGTTCTCCTTGTCATATGGCAGCTAAGCTTCGAAGGCGAGCTGGTTGGCGAGGGGCTTCAAGAGTACGACTTCTGAACAAACCAATACCCATGAGTCTGGCTAACGTTTCTCAGCGAACACGACATAGTCATTCTATACACGCACCTCCTACGCATTTCCCCGAAGGAAAAGACGACCCGTCTGCTCCTTTCTACGCTCATGAACCTTTTACAGACTAATCGCCAATCGCTACTACCCGCGGCCGTGCTCGCTCGTCTCCCCACGCTCCTCGGAAGTCTCAAGTCTCGTCACCTAACAGACGAGGATGCCCTTCAAGACCTCCAGTCTCTGAACGAGCTCTTAGAAGAGTACACCAAGACACAAACGACGTTCGACGAATACGCGGCAGAGTTGCAGTCCGGACACTTGCGCTGGTCACCA